GGCCAAGCGAACTTCTGGAGCAGAGTCGTTGGCAGGGAGGCTGCAGCCAGCCCTCTGAGTCACCCTGGCCTGGCGGTGGAGCTGGGTCTGGAATGTCTGCGGTGGCCCTCCGGCTGTGGCGGGAACGGTGAGTCACCACCGGGAGCTGGAAGAGCCAGCAAGCCCCCAAGGCTCCTCTGCCATTCCAGTTCTCCTGGTGTCTGGATCCAGAGGTTGGGAGGGTCTGGGAAGCAGGACCCTGGGTTCTCTCACAATATCACCATCCTCCCTTTCTGCGCTGATTCCCTGGCTTCCAGGAGTCCTAGGCACCTCTCGCACCCCCACTCTCTCCACCTGTCTGCCCCTCGCCCCCAGCCTTGGTATCTGGGTTTCCTCTTGCTTTCCCGGCCCCTGTGACCCCTCACATCCTGGAACAGCTCCCCGGTGGACTGAGGGTCAGAGCCCCCCACTCCCAGACCCCACCCCTGCACTGTGCTGCAGGAGGCACACTAGGGCCACTTCTCCCCATGTGTGGTGGCCGGGCTGGTAGAGTTGCCAGTGGATTTAGTTATCCTTACTTATTTTAATTTTTATTTTATTATTTTTAAAGATTTTTATTTATTTATTTATTCATGAGAGACACAGCAAGAGAGAGAAAGACACACAGGCAGAGGGAGAAGCAGGCTCCATGCAGGAAGCCTGATGTGGGACTCGATCCTGGACTCCAGGATCACGCCCTGGGCTGAAGGCAGGCACTCAACCACTGAGCCACCCTGGGATCCCAAATGTTCCTTTCTTTTCTTTTCTTTTCTTTTTTTTTTTTTTTTAAGATTTTATCTATCTATTCATGAAAGACACATCAGAGAGAGAGGCGGAGACACAGGCAGAGGGAGAAGCAGGCTCCATGCAGGGAGCCCAATGTGGGACTTGATCTCAGGTCCCAGGATCGGACCCTGGGCTGAAGGTGGCGCTAAACCGCTGAGCCACCCCGGCTGCCCCCAAACGCTCCTTTAAAAAAAAAAAAAATTTTTTTTTTAAGTAGCCTCCACACCCAACGTGAAGCTCGAACTCACAACCCCAAGATCCAGAGTCACACACTCTCCTAACTGAGCTACCCCAAGATCCAGAGTCACACACTCTCCTAACTGAGCTACCCGGGGAGCCCTCATTGAACTATCTTGATCAGCAGCCCCTTCCGATCCCCCAGAAACTTCAGAAGGCCATCTTTTGGGGGCACTTGAGTATCTCAGTTAGTTAAATATCTGTCTACAGCTTGGGTTGTGGTCCCAAGGTCCCAAGACTGAGCCCCATGTTGGGTTCCCTGCTCAGCGGAGAGTCTGCTTCTCTCTCTGCCCCTCCACCCACTTATGCATGGTCTTCCTGTCTCTCAAATAAATAAAAAAAATCTTTTTAAAAAGTAAAAAAAATAGGGCAGCCCAGGTGGCTCAGCAGTTTAGAGCCACCTTTGGCCCGGGGCATGATCCTGGGGATCCGGGATGGAGTCCCACATCGGGCTCCATGCATGGAGCCTGTTTCTCCCTCTGCCTGTATCTCTGTGTCTCTCATGAGTAAATAAATAAAATCTAAAATAAATAAATAAATAGGGGCACCTGGGTGGCTCAGTGGTTGAGCATCTGCCTTTGGCCCAGGGCATGATCCTGGGGACCCAGAATCAAGTCCCACATCGGGCTCCCAGCATGGTGCCTGCTTCTCCCTCTGCCTGTGTCTCTGCCTCTTTCTCTCATGAAAAATAAATTTTAAAACAAATTTTTTTTCTTTTTTTTCAAAAATTTTTTTAATTTAAAATAAATTTTTAAAAAGAAGGCTACCGGGATCCCTGGGTGGCGCAGCGGTTTGGCGCCTGCCTTTGGCCCGGAGCGCGATCCTGGAGACCCTGGATCGAATCCCACATCGGGCTCCCGGTGCATGGAGCCTGCTTCTCCCTCTGCCTGTGTCTCTGCCTCTCTCTCTCTCTGTGTGTGTAACTCTCATAAATAAATAAAAAAAAATTAGACAAAAATAAAAAAATAAAAAGAAGGCTACCTTTTCCCCAGCCTCCCAATATGCTCTAGGGGGTGAGGGCTGTGAGCTCCTCTGGGCATCTGGCATCTTCTCTGATCTCCTCCCCTGACCCTCCCCACATTCCTTCCTCCACCAGGGCTCAGGCTACATTCTCCTTAGTCTGTCCACTGCACAGCATGAGAGCCAAAGATCAAAGGGAAACAGGTTGGGGGGGGGTGGGCTGCAGAGAGGTTCCCTCCAAGAGGGGGTGGGGTGAGAATTTGAAGCACAAGTGGCCTTCAGAGCAGCCCACCCCCAAAACAAATCCCCAGAGCACCAGGCAGACACTCAGAGCTGCAGTGCAGGGACCCAACCCAGAATCCTCCTTGACTCTGTTTTGGCATGAGACTTACGAGGGAATGATGTCCACCCTCCTTGGATACCTTGTGCCTCCAGGTGGAGGTGCCCAGGTTTTGACATACAGACTCTTCTGAGCCCATTAACTGTTGCTCAACAGGAAGCAGGAGCACAAGCAACCCCACATCCCATTTGGAGGCCAAATCTGAATCGATGTCTAATCACTGCCCATTGATAGCTGGGAGATGGAATTTGGAGAGATTGCCCGGAGAGAAGTTTTTCTAGATAGTGAAAAATGGGTGGGCAAGGTTTCTAGGAAGCAGAGTTGAATTGCCCCCCACCCCGCCCCAGTCCAGTTAACTCTCATCCCACACAAGCACTTAATTTCATGCTGGAGCTGCTTCCTGGCCACAGTTTACCTGGAAAGGAAAGTGGCCTTTATTAGACCCTGGAGCTAATAAGCAGAGCATGAGCTGAGTTGTTGATGGTTCAAAGTGCTATGGTGAGTGGAGTAGGAATAGCCTGGGAAGGAGGACCTGGGGGGTCTGCCAAAAATGCAGTGTCTGCCCTGCCCCTTCTAGGCTGAGCCATGAAGACAGAGGCATATACTCAGTCCTTGGTGAAAGGCAGAGGCAGCACCTCGAGGGGTCTCCAGTCTGAGGGGCAGGCATGGCCCTTAGCCTCAGGATTCTTCTGTAGGATGGGGAAGAGATGGCTCCTGGTTCACACTCCTGGTACAGACCCCCCAGTCTGATCAGGGAAACAAAGCCCCTGCGCCGGAGAGCCCTCCAGTCGAACAGGCACAGCATGACCTCAGGGACCCCCAGTCTGATAGCAGAGACAGGTCCACACTGGGTCTCATAAATCTTTACAGATAGAATTGTAGCTGCCCGCTTTCCTTCAAGTTCCCAAGGGGTAAGTGGACCCCTTTCCCCACTCCATTCTTTTTTTTTTTTTTTTTTAAGATTTTATTTATTTATTCATGAAAGAGAGAGAAGCAGGCCCCTCGCAGAAAGCCTGATGTGGGACTTGATCCCTGATGGGGATCAGGCCCTGAGCCAAAGGCAGACACCCAACTGCTGAGCCACCCTGGGGTCCCTCCCCAACTCTATCCTGCCCTAACACAGGAGGGCAGCTTGACCCCAGCTCCCCCAGGAAACTTCCATCCTTCATGGTCCCTCAACCCTCTTACTCTCCAACCCTTTCCCTGGCCAGCTGGGATACCCCCCTAGATTTCACAATAGGGACATGGCCTCACTGACAAAGCTGTGTGCCACTATCCAGAGCTGGGGTTCAAACAACTGTGCCCCACTCTCTCGGACCCCAGGGTAGCCTGTTGCCTATGGTAGGGGTCCTTCCCCAGCTAGTGCCACCCGACCCAAGTCTGCCCGCCTCACCCAGGGCCCCCTTTCCAACTGGGGACACCTGGAAAGGAAGTGAGGCTAGAAGAATACAGGGCCCTGTGCCCAGAAGGGAGGAGGGGGGAGAAGAAAGAGGACACTTAAGGTGGCCTACCCCCGCAGGGAACTGGAGATACCCAAATGTTAATCATCGATTAGCACAGTTCAAGTGGAAAGGGCAACTTTATTACGCGTAAAATGGACTTAATGTGGCGGGAGCTGTGGACTTAATTTCTTGAGATAAGATGCTTTTAGGCTAATCAGCAGGTGTGTGATGCCTGGATATAAAGGAGCTACAGCAGACTTTCTTGAGACAGGCTCCAAAGGACCGGAAGGTAGGAGGAAGAAACCCCTGCCCTGTCCTTCTGGAAGAGCTGGAAAGGAAGCCAGGTGAGAGAGCGGCTGGGACAGGGGATGGGTGGAGGGGATACTGGAGAGGCAGTGGGTCTTGGCACCCAGAGATGCTTGGCATCCTTGCATCTCACATTCTAAGAAATAAGAAGGCGGCTCTCAGGATTCCTGTAACACCTAGTGACAAAGGCAGGAGGATGAATGAGGCCTGGTCCCATTTCATCCAGGGGGTCTTCTGTAGGGGTGAAGAGCAGTAAGTAAGGAACCTTCCTCCCAGCTCTGAAAACCAAAGTTAGACCTAGAGCTATTTGGGCCACCAGACCTCATCTTCCTGCAGCAGGACCCCAAGAAGAGCTTCCCTGCACAGAGATAGTGAACCCCGGGGAGGAGAGGATGGAATGGTCCTACCTGTGCCTTTCACTTGGGGCGAGAGAGCTGTGATGGTTTAGGTGACAGCCAATCCCACAGCTGGAAGCAGGGCTGGTATGGACTTTGGGGGGCTCTATGGGGAGTCTCGCCAGGCCACATGCCTTTGACGTCCAGCCACTGGAGCCAGGAAGGGGGCTGTCAGGGGTCTTAGCTGCTCTCTTCTGCCTGGACCTCTCCCCCCTGCCCTCCCCAGCTCAGTCTCCACAACAAAAAGCAGGTCCTCCTCCTGGCCAGGCTCCGTGACCCTTCTAGTATCTGACTCCAACACCCAGCCCCCCCCCCCCCCGCCAACCCCCCAAGTGTTGTTCTAGCCTCTCAGAAAAGCCCTGACCCCTGGAGCTCAGTGACCCCCGCTACTGGCAGAAGCCACAGAGGCTCTGAGGCCTCAGCCGTACCTGGGCGGCCTGAAGGCTGTGCCTGGGCACAGTGCTTCCCTCATCCTTGTCCCTTTTCTCTCCCGGCTCAGGAAATCACCCTTGGAAGATGGTGGCCATGAAGATCTTCAGTCTCCTGCTGGCGTCCCTGCTCCTGGCGGTGGTGATGGGAGAGAAGGCAGCCGGTCACTCTAGGTAGTGGTGCAGGGGAGGGGTTGGGCACAGGGAAGGAGGCTGGGGAGGTGGGAAGGGGAGGAACCCCAAGCCAAGAGGAAAGAAGCAGGAGGGAGAACCCCGCCAGCAGTCTGTGTGTGGAGTAAGGACAGAATCCAAAGGGTTTATTTCGAGCTACTGTTGCCACAGGACAAACTGTGGTTAGATCTCTGGAAGGACTTCTCCGGGGTTAAGTGTCTGAAGTGTACAACAGGGTCTCCCTTCCTGATGAAAGCTTTAGCCATTCATCATTCACATGTGCAGAATGCCTCAGGGAACACACAGGCTCCCAAGGAAAGCAAAGAGCCACCTAGGCCAGTCGCAGACTCTCAGGAACACTTGGGGGGGTGGGGGGCAGAATGTCATGAGCAAATGGGGGAGGGGGCTCTGTTTGTTCTCTGGAGGACCAAGAGATACTTGTCTGGGTAAAGAGCTGGGCCTTGTCAGATGCAAGGACTAGTCCTATGCCCTCTAAATCCAGTCATGTAGATGTGAGGCACAGCTGTCAGGTACAAGTCAACATCACATAGAAGTTGCAAACTTAGGGGCGCCTGGATGGCTCAGTCTGTTAAGCATCTGCCTTAGGCTCAGGTCATGATCCCAGGGTCCTGGGATCCAGTCCCACATCATCGGCTCTGTGTTCTGCAGGGAGCCTGCTTCTCTCTCCTTCTGCTCCTCCCCTGCTTGTGCTCACTCCCCTTCTCTTAAAATCTTTATTTTTTTTTTAAGATTTTATTTATTCATGAGAGACACAGAGGCAGAGACACAGGCAGAGGGAGAAGCAGGTTCCATACAGGGAACTAATATATATATATATGTTGCAAACTTAGATCTGGGCCCAGACCCCCATCTTCATGGAGTGCTAGATTAATCTCTCTGTACCTTGGTTTCCTCATTCACAAAAAGGGCATAGAAATAGCGTTGACCTCAAAGGGGTGTTACGAAGATCAAATGAGTCTATGAAGTAAAGGGCTGAGAGAGGACCTGGCATACAGTGAGTGCCCTTATGGAAGAGCTCCTATTGTTCATACTGACTGGGAATAAAGACTTGAATCGGGGTGAGTCAAGGCAGGAGGAGTAAAGAAGGAAAGTGAGATCCTTTGGGATGAAGAGAACCCATCCTTTGGGATGAAGGGAACCCCTGATCCCTGTTTGTCCAGAACCCAGAGTCACACACACTGAGGATGCAGAAAGTGGGCTCTTGAGCTGAGGATAAAGCCCGAGGGGCTTGATGCATAGACAAGGGGCTGCCTCCATGAAACTTGACTCCCAAGGGGCACCTGGGTGGCTCAGCAGTTGAGCATCTGTCTTTGGCTCAGGTTGTGATCCTGGGGCTCTGGGATCAGAGTCTGGTATCAGGCTGCCCACAGGGAGCCTGCTTCCCCTCTGTCTATGTCTCTACCTCTCTCTGTGTGTCTCTCATGAATAAATAAAAATCTTAAAAAAAAAAAAAAAAAAAAACAGGGATCCCTGGGTGGCGCAGTGGTTTAGCGCCTGCCTTTGGCCCAGGGTGCGATCCTGGAGACCCGGGATTGAATCCCACGTTGGGCTCCCGGTGCATGGAGCCTGCCTCTCCCTCTGCCTGTGTCTCTGCCTCTCTCTCTCTCTCTCTCTCTCTCTCTCTGTGTGTGACTATCATAAATAAAAAAAAAAAATTAAAAAAAACCCAAAAAAACATAAGACAGGCAGCCCGAGTGGCTCAGTGGTTTAGCGCCACCTTAGGCCCAGGGCGTAGTCCTGGAGACCTGGGATCGAGTCCCACGTCCGGCTCCCTGCATGGAGCCTGCTTCTCCCTCTGCTTATGTCTCTGCCTCTCTTTCTCTCTCTCTGTGTCTCTCATGAATAAATAAGTAAAATCTTTAAAAACAAAACAAAACCCATAAAACAAAAAATCCCACAAAAATCTGACTCCCAAGAAATGGGGGTGGTGGGAGGTAGCTGTTTTCAATCACCTGCCGCATTGTGGTTCCCTTCGTGTAGTGCCTGGTTTCTCCCTCTCTCTCCTCCCTGCCCCTCAGATTCCACACTAAAGTCAGTGGCTCCCGACCTCGAGGCCCCAGGTACGCCGAGGGGACTTTCATCAGTGACTACAGTATCGCCATGGACAAGATCCGCCAACAAGACTTTGTGAACTGGCTGCTGGCCCAGAAGGGGAAGAAGAATGAGTGAGTTAATGCCCACACTCCCTCCTCTGCACCGGCTGGCCATACCTTCCTTCATTTAGACTAGACGCCACGTGGGCCTGTGATTCTGGGTGGTAACTTTGGCTTAGGTACTGATGGGGAGCTGGGCAACACCATGGTCCTGACCAGGGCTCGGGCAGTGGCCCAGTCTGGGGTGGGACTAAGCTTTCCAATCCTTTTCTTCTTCCAACCCTTTCTTTCCAATCCTTCCTCTAAGGAGAGGGATCATTGAGGATGTAGGGGCTCCCAGAGGATGCCCGCGGGGCTGGGGTTGTAGGCAGAGAGAGCTAAGCTGCTGACAGTGACCATTTGGTGGTGACCACTTTGGACTTTGCCCTTCTTCCTCTCTTTTGCCAAGTCTCTTACCTTGTCCTTGCTGTACATCAGCATGGTAGATGCTGGAAAGCTGTTCTGTGGCAGCTGGGGACAAGCAGGGGGGTGGTTGAACAGAGAAAGAGGTACACTATACAACTTGGGTAAAGGCTCCAAAAGACTGGAGCACATCTGAGTCTCCCCAGCCCTACCCACTCCCTCCTGTTTACCTGACCAGCTGGAAACACAACATCACCCAGAGGGAAGCCGGGGCCCTAGAGCTGGCCCATCAATCTAACAGGAAGGAGGAGTCGAGAGAGCAGCAGGGGTGAGTCAGCCCACTGGAGAAGGGGTGGGGGCAGGGCCTCATCCTTCCCTCCCCTAGACCCCAGAGCAGGGCCAGGCCCCAGACAAGCATCCCCTTCCACTCTTCATGGAACTCCTGGAAGCCTGGCTGGAGCTTAAGGGAGAAACCTAGGAGGAATAGGGGCTGGGGTCCTAGGAGGGAGTTGCGGTCAGAGTCCCTAAGATCGATGATTCAGTGTGTGGAATCAGAGTCACGGAGAGGGGTGGTGAAAGAGACTTCGGGGACTGGCTTCCCCACTTCTCCCCGACAGACTTCAGGAAGGCTGTTTGAGGAGCCAGGGACCCTCTCAAGACCAGTCCCTTGACATCAGTTACCCCCCACCCTCACCCCCATCCCCTGAGGAAGCTGAGAAATCTGTGGATCATTCTAAAAAGTGAATTGTTCCCGAAGTCGTCTCTCGGGTTTGGGGGATGCATTCGGGGATACTTGCAGAGCTGGGTGGGGTGGGATATCTTCCACCTGAATTGTTCCGCTTTGCCTGTACTGAGGAGCCTCTACCCCCCAGGCCCACAGATCAGGGTGGAGCTTTGAAAGCTGAGATAAGGAGAGGCAGCTGTGTTGACTCCCTCCCCCCACCCCAGCTGCCCCTTGGAGTCCCAGGCCCTGTATTTACTCACTCCGGGTGGGGCCCCAGCTCAAACAGCCTGCCTGAGGCTTTCTCCTTGGCAGCTCCCTACCCAAGAACCCGGGTGATGAAGATTTGCTGAAGGATTTACTGATTCGAGAGCTGCTGGCCTGGATGGTGGATCAGATGGAAGTCTGCAGGCTCAGGTGGGGCTGTTCAGTGGCTTTGGGCATCTTGAGTCGTGGTCATAAGCTTGAGCTTTGAGGCCCGACATGGGTTCAGATCGGCACTCCAGCACATGCTAGCAAACTCATAAGCCTCTCTGAACCTCAGCGTTTTCATGAAAGCAAGGCTTATTCAGACCACTTCATGGGATTGTTGTCAGGTTAAAATATGATAATACAAGGAAAGTACGGAGAGTAATGCGGGAGGAGGAAGAGTTCAGTAATGTTGGCAGTTGTCATTACTTCTTGCACTTTGGTTTCTACTCTGTCCAGGTGAGAGGCTGCGCTCACCTGCCCTGCCCACCTGAGCTAAGCTGACCATTTTATTCTCAGTTCTCTCTCTGTACCCTTATCCCATGGCCCCTTCCAGTGGTGGAACCCCCGGAGCTGGAGGCATGTTGTCCCTCTCTGTAGCCATTGTTGGTCTCAGTGGTCCTAGAATCCATCTCACAAGCTAGGAAGTCCTGTAATCTATCATGTCCCAGAAGAAAGGGATGGCTAATACCATGAAGAGGTCCATCTACCTAAAGGGTGAGATAGAACACTGGTTCAAGATGCAGACACCGAGGCTTGGAAACCAAAATATTTCAGACTTGGATGCTGGCAAGCTAGGGAGGGATCAAGGGAATAGATCTGGGATGGCTTCCTGTAGAGGGCAGGAAGGGAAAGAGGAAAGTGACCAGAACAATGGAGGGGAGAGTATGAGAAATTCTCCATAGGAAAGTGGGTGCTTTTTGGAATTATTTTGATTACTTATAATTAAAAAGGTAATTGGGGAAGCCCTGGTGGCCCAGCAGTTTAACGCCAGCTTCAGCCCAGGGTGTGATCCTGGAGACCCGGGGTCGAGTCCCAGGTCGGGCTCCCTGTATGGAGCCTGCTTCTCCTTCTGCCTGTGTCTCTGCCTCTCTCTCTCTCTCTCTCTCTCTCTCTCTCTTTCTCTCTCTGTGTGTCTCTCATGAATAAATAAATAAAATCTTAAAAAAAGGTAATTGGCAGGTATGAGCAGCTGAACCATGGCTGGGCACCAGGATGAAGTTACTTTGCTGACTCTGAGTGGATTATGACCTTCCTCCCCAACCACTTCCCCTCCTCTCTCTACTCTCCCAGATTTCAGTGACTCAGACCAAACCCAGCTCTCGCCTGGACTCTGCCCTTCACTTACTCAGGACTCAGCTCTCCTCCAGGGTACCCAAGAGAAGCCAAACCAATAAAGTTTAAGCTGAAACAAATCCTTGTGTCCATTGTCAAAACTTACCGTCTACTTTTTTTTTTTTAAGATTTATTTATTCATTTATAATAGACATAGAGAGAGAGAGAGAGGCAGAGACAAAGGAGGAGGGAGAAGCAGGCTCCATGCCGGGAGCCCGACGTGGGACTCTATCCCAGGACTCCAGGATCGCGCCCTGGGCCAAAGGCAGGCGCCAAACCGCTGGGCCACCCAGGGATCCCCTGAGAAAGGGACATCCAAGTTGAGCGAGATGGCAAGGATAAGATGGCCAAAGGACAAGGGGAGCCTTAATAAATACTGCCTCGGTGTTATTCTTACAAAGTGAAACAAGCAATGGGGAGATGAGCACAAACAAGGGCTGGATAGGTGTGCAGAGGTAGGGTCTTTTAAAAAAAAAAAAAAAGATTTATTCATTCATATGAGAGAGAGGCAGAGACGCAGGCAGAGGGAGAAGCAGGCTCCCTGCAGGAAGCCCAATGCGGAACTTGATCCCAGATCCTGGGATCAGGACCTGAGCTTAAGGCAGCCACCCAACTGCTGAGCCACCCAGGCATCCCAAGAGGCAGGATCTTAAAGGTCATGTTAAAAATTTTGAATTTTGGGCAGGTAGGTGGTTCAGTCGGTTAAGCATCTGCCTTTGGGGGACCCCTGGGTGGCTCAGCGCCTGCCTTTGGCCCAGAGCATGATCCTGGAGTCCTGGGATCGAGTCTCACATCAGGCTCCCTGCATGGAGCCCGCTTCTCTGCCTCTGTCTCTTTCTCCCTCTCTGTGTCTCTCATGAATGAATAAAATAAAATCTTTTTTTTTTCTTTAAAAAAAAAAAAAAAGCATCTGCCTTTGGCTCAGGTGGTAATCCCCGGGGGTCTGGGATTGAGTCCCACATACATGGGCTCCTTGCTCAGCAGGGAGCCTGTTTCTCCCTCAGCCTCTCCCCCTTGCTTGTGATCTGTCTCTTTCATGCTTTCTCTCTCAAATTAAAACACAAAAAAGCTTTTGGATTTTATCCTCAGAGCAGGGGCAGGTTTGAAGAGCTATTTGCATTCCCAAACCATCACTAGTGAGGATTTTTTTTTTAATTTTTTTTTTTTATTTATTTATGATAGTCACACACACACAGAGAGAGAGGCAGAGACATAGGCAGAGGGAGAAGCAGGCTGTGGGATTTGATCCTGCATCTCCAGGATCGCGCCCTGGGCCAAAGGCAGGCGCTAAACCACTACGCCACCCAGGGATCCCATTAGTGAGGATTTTATATAAGAACAGGGTGACGGAAAAAGGAAGACCAGTTAAGAGAATCCTCTTGCAAGGATTCGAGGCTTGCCCTAGGGTGATGGGAGTGGGCGTGAAGGGTAAGGGGCCAACTCAGTTTGTCCAAAAGTCAATCCCTTTATCTTCCAGTGTTCAAAGTGCCCCTCCCCCATCCCACCTCCAGTCCGCTGCCTTCTCCCAGTGTTTGGTATCCACGGAAGGCAGGGCTGTTTCTCTTCCCTCTTCACTTGAGCTATCTTGCCTGGAATGTCCTCTCTCCCCTTGATCTAGTCATATTTCAGTAGACAAGAGTCAAACACACCTAGATTCAGACTCAAAAACACTAGGTCTGTGATTTAGCAAGTTAGTTCCTCTCTCAGCCTGTTTGCATTCTGGGAAAAGATTCCAAAGTACCCAGCTCATAGGGTTGAAGTAAGTCTTAAGATAATGCCTGGCACAAAGTATATGGTCAATAAAAGTTTAACTTTTGCTATCATGTACCCACCTAAAGCTCAGTTTAAAAACACAAGGGTATTAGTTTTAAATCAGGGAGTGGCAAGCCAGATTGGCTGAAGGGCTGGGCCCTAGTGACATAATTGAGCAAAGTGGGGAGGGTGTAAGACAATGGGAAGGATGGGGACTGTGAAAATGGAAGAGACATGCTTTCTGCTGACCAAACAAAACGCTTTTGAGAACTGAATTTGCCTAAGGGCTGCCAGCTTGCGATCTCTTCCAGCTCTGACATTGTAGGTTTCCTCTCCTCTAAACTCAAGGAGTTTAGAAAGCGTGCCACACAGTTTAGAACACGCCTTTGCTCAGAAGATAGTTTAGTGATTTTCTATGGTAGAACTGGTTGTCTTGGGGAGAAGTTGGATTTCCCTTTCTAGAGTTTTGGGTCTCTGGGGGTCAGTGGATCAGAAAGGGTGACTTAATAAATTTGCAGTGTTGTCTTATGGGCCAGGCATTGTCCTTAGCTCTTGATAAACATCATTTAAAGTCTCATCACAACACTTTAAGATAATAACATCCTAGCGGTTAACCATGCACGACACTGCCTCCATGAGGTAGAGAATTAAAGTCCCGTGCTTTTAGCCACCCCGAGGCTAAGGCCAGTGAGTCACTTAAAGCAAGTGATGGCATGTGTGATGGTCTGCATTCAGAATATACTGAAGCTGAGTGCTTCTGAAAGTCATTGCTAAATTGTCGGGAATTTTGTGAGCAGGTTGTAAAATCACTGTTAGCTTGAAATTGGCTAGGGCCAGAGTACACCATGGAAATTGACAAATGCTATAAATCAGAGCTCTTCCTTCCCAGCCTGGAGAGGTGGTTGTTAAACATTTACCAGCACATTACTGATCAACATACTTTCCCTAAAATTCTAGAATACATGTGTCTGAACAAGGGAATGAGCATGTCCACTGGAGTGTGGTAATTAGGTGTGTCTCGGGCCAGTGTTCGCACCTAGGAGAGTGTGTGTGCATTTGAGGGTATGGATAGTTAAATTTGAAGCATGAGTGTGAGAGATCAGTGCATGTATCTTGAGGGGTCATACAGTGTGAGTCAAAGAGTGAGAAGTGAGGCAGGTGTGTGTGTGTCTATGTCAGTGAGTCAGGAAGGGACCAAATTTTTGTTAGGGAGTGGTGTAGTAAGAATATGAGGGTATGAGGTAAACATGTGTATAGAAGAGGCTAGTTGTTTTTTTGCAGAAAGTTGTGGGTGGGTATATTGAAGGTCAGTGTTTTAGGAGAGGGTGTCTGAAAAGGCTAGTATGTACTGGAGAAGCAAATCTGTATCTGGGAAAGTTTTTTTTTTAAGATTTTATTTATTCATAAGACACACACACACACACACACACAGAGGGAGAGACACAGGCAAAGGGAGAAGCAGGCTCCATGCAGGGAGCCCAACATGGGACTTGATCCTAGGTCTCCAGGATCACGCCCTGGGCTGAAGGTGGCACTAAACTGCTGAGCCACCTGGGCTGCCCGGGATGTTCGTTCTTAAGGGGATTTTTTTTTAAAGATTTTATTTATTTATTCGTAAGAGTCACAGAAAGAGAGAAGCAGAGACACAGGCAGAGGGAAAAGCAGGGTCCATGCAGGGAGCGTGACGTGGGGCTCAATCCCAGGTCTCCAGGATCACACCCTGGGCTAAACCACTGAGCCACCCGGGCTGCCCTCTAGGGGTACTTAGACTGTCTCAACTCAGTGTCTAAGGGTGTGTTTTGGGGTAGTCTGAAGTAAGACTACAAAAAGCTGAATGATGGTTTTAGCCTTGGTCCTTGCATCCACTAATATTAGATTCTGCTGCAAATAAGAAACACGAAGTAACGGTGGTTTTGGTAAGATAAAACATTATTTCCCTTTTTTTTTCCTAAAGATTTTATTTATTTATTCATGAGAGACACACAGAGAGAGGCAGAGACACAGGCAGAGGGAGAAGCAGGCTCCCTCAGGGAGCCCAATGCAGGACTGGATCCTGGGACCCCAGGATCACGACCTGAGCCAAAGGCAGCCAAGCCACTCAACCACTGAGCCACCACACAGGTGCCCCTACTTCCCTTT